GATATTTTAATTTTGTTTTTAATTTATTGTTTTATGTTAATTTTTTTTTGTGAAGCACACACCTGTGAATGCAAGTGATTGCAAATGATATCGCAAAGGTAATTCAGTGTTGTAAATATTTTAAAATCAATTTTCATCATTTTACTGATAAGATAAATTTCCTTCATCTGATAATTATTCTTCAACACAATTTATTATTCCTTCTCACTTTCCTCTTAACAATTTGAAAATATATGTCAAAATAATTATAATCATTACTTACTTTTCAAATTACTTACTCATCATCTTTTAATAACAATTCATTATCATAATGTTTATTTATTATTCCTTCACTTTATTATTATTTAAAGTTTTACCAATCTATAAACTATTATTACAAATTTACTAAATTTTATCGAACTAAAAACTATTACTATAAAATTTTCTTTTATCATTATTATTACCTATTTTAGTAATTAAATTGTCACCAATTGTAATTTAATTATTATAATAAATATAATCAATTGATTGATTTAGCTATAAATTATGTGTTTGTTAAGTTGCATAAATTAGTACTAATTTATTTATTTATGATAAATATAATCAGTTGGTTGATTTAGCTATTAATTATATGATTGATAAGTGATTGATAAGTGATTGATAAGCTTTAATAAGTTGCATAAATTAGTGCTAATTTATTTATTTATGGTAAATATAATCAATTGATTGATTTAACTATTAATTATGTGATTTATAAGTTGCATAAATTAGTGCTAATTAATTAATTAATTAATTTGTTAATATTTCCATTGAAATTTTGTTTTAAATAAAAAATCATTAAGAAAAAAATGAATTTCATTTTATTTTTTCATTTTTAATAATTTTAATAAAAATTAAAAAATGTTATTGTATTTTTCTTTTCTCTCTTCTTTATTTATGCTATTATTTAAAATTCCTTTTTCTCTTTTCTCATTCATACTGATATAAATGATATTTTTTTCAAAAAAAATCTTTTTTAATTCAATCACAAAACTTATCCCAAATATATCATTGATCGATAAATCTATCATTAACTTTTATTCTCTCTCTCTCTCTCTCTTTTTTTGTCCTTTTCTTTCCTCACAATTATATGATCATATCCTTTTCAAATAGTAATCAATAATCTTTTATTTTTTATTCACAATCTTTTTCAATCGTTCTTTTTATTGCGCAAAATTTCTTTTCTTCTTAGCTTTTATGCAATCTATTGTCATATTCTTTTTTTTTTTTGTCACTCATTTATTGCTATTTTTCATTCATTCTTTTATATTATTTGCATATTTCTCTCCTTATTCTATAGTCTTTTTTTTCTTCTTTGAATTCATTCAATTCAATGAACAGAGAGGAAATTCACTTACACATCTATTTCAGAATATCCATTCCTGATTGGTTTTGCCTGTTTACCTTGAAATACCTATCCGAAATTAATCTCTCTGTTATTTATATTCAATTCAATGCTCACTCATTGTAATACTCTATTTCTGATCATCCATTCAATAAAAGGTATTGTTAATTCAGTAATTTCATTTTTAACAATGAATATTTAGGTATTCAATGCTCTTATCAAATTTGTAATTTTAATTTAAAAATAAACAGCTATTTAAATCTTTTTTTCATTATGCTAATAAATTCTATCCTTAAATTCTACTTTTTATATGTTTTATTTTTGTACCTGATAATCTCATCTGAATTATTATTACCTGAATTTTTGTTATTACCTTTCGTTATTACCTGCAAAAAGTGAACTAATTTTTACAGAATCAACACCAGTTTCAATAGCTTTTGCAATATCTCCTGAATATTTCATACTACTTACATATAGGCAATTAATTGTACTTTTCTTATCTTATACACTTCTGCAACATTTTGAATTGCAGAAAATTGCGAAACACCTGTAACTATTCTGGTTGTACTAGGTCTTACATCCACCTTTAATGCATCAATGCCCACATCAAATTCTATATTAGTTTCTTTAAGAATTCTTTTATTATTTATGATAAGACTAATAGACATTTTGCAACATTGCACTAGGATTCAACATAGCGATCAATGATGTACATAGAATATGGCTGATCGCAGATATCATTGCTGATCTTTTGAGATTGATAACACAATTAATTTTCATCATTATCCCGATATATAACAGTGTTAGCTAGCTTTTTATAATTGATCTTTCGTTTCGATACGGTACTAGAGATTACCATCGTTAATATCTGTCATCATTTCTATTCTCCACTACACATAAATTATTAATATTATTAGTACTTGATTGAATTGCTTTATGGCTTTCATGTAGGATTATAAGTTTGAAACTCTACTAATCTTTGTCGAGAACTAAATTCAAAGGGAAAAAACTATATCAAGTTGAATTATCAGATATTGCACTTAACAAGATCGTATCTTCCATTAGTATTACTTATTATTATTAATCAATAATAGATATAGTTTTAAATGATAAGTGATAATCTCATTTTATTTCCAAATAATAATTAATTCAAAATTGAAATATTTTTTTTTGGCTAATTTGATATAATTTAATTAATTATTTGTTTATCTCTCAAATCGATCTTTTCTTTTTTTTAAAAGAATAATAACAAATTTCGAAATATTTCTTTTGCTATAAAAATAAAAGAATATATTAAATTTTTAAATTATTTTATTTTTTCGTTTGATAGCTTTTAAATTATTTTTTTAATTATACCATATAATTAAAAAAAAAGCATAATATAATTAAATGAATGATATTTTTCCGTGAAAGCTCTCTTATTTATATTTGGTTTAATATATTTTTTCTTCTTATATACCAAAAGAAATATTTAATATAATTTAATAGTTCAAATTATGCTAATAGTTCAGGTTATGCTGACAGTTCAAGCTATGCTAATAATTTAAGTTATACTTCTCCATGGTTATCTTTTTCAGTTGAATTTCATAAAATAACAATCTTAAACTGTATAATGCGGATTCGGTGTTATTGAGGCAAGTGTTTGGACAAATGACCTATTGAATTTGTTAATTGTTAACCTTTCTATCTAATTTTTCTCTATTAATTAGCTTCACTAACTAACTATAATAATAAATTCAAAATTTCTTCACTAACTTCACCAACTAATTAATAGAGAATAAATAGATAGAAATTTAGAAAACGGTTAACAACTAACAATTAGTGATAGAATGATATATAATGCTAAGTGAAGTGCTAAGCTATACGGTGATGAATATTTAATGATCCAGTTAATTTCACCTTTTTTTTTTTCTTTTTGTATCTATAGTGATAACCTGAGAAACGATGATAACCCATTAGAATTATCACTTCAGGAATAAATTTCATATCATATACGCATGGAAAAGTATTAAAATGAGGAAACTAGATGAAAATATTACTGCATATCACAAATATTTCAATCGAAAAAACGAATAGTTGTAGATCTTCATACGGTATTATCATTTTACCTAAATTCCTATTTTATTTGTTGAAAAATTTACAACAAATTCCTATTATCCAATCCATTTCATATTTTCACCATTTGCTTTATCACTCATCCTAAAATAATTTTTAATTTGTAAATTTGCAAAAACGAATAGTTTTGTTAAATTGTACTACGAAAATTCAATTTGAGAAGTAAAATTAATTTAAAAATTAAAAATTAATCATTATATTTAATTATTATTCTGTAAGATAATACTCGACTTTAATAATTAACTGTTTTTTATTGTTCCTTAATTTGAAATTTAATTTAACAACGCTGCCAATATTTTCGTTTAATTTTACTTTCCATAAATTACATATAACATATGCAAATTAATATACATAATAAAGAAAGAAGAAGGTAAGAGAGAGAGAGAGAGAAATTATATTTTTTATGTTTAAAAAATGAAGGAATTGCATAAGCGAAATTGATCATATCCATCATTTCATCATTTCATCCCTTTTTTTTTCATGTAATTTGAATAGTTCATGATAAAATTATCTGTATATTTATTCGAATAGTTTATCATCATTTGAGTTAGGAAAAATGTTATGATATGATTAAAGGAAAGTGAAATGAAATTGAATTTATCAATTTCGGAAAAATTTTTCAATAATATTTTCATCTATCAAAATAATTCTCATATTTTCAACAATTTCTTCAATTTCTCATAATATATCATCTACAAATCGTCTTTTTTTCTTTCTAAAATTTATTTTTATTTCAATAATTTTTGGTTAAAAAATTTTATCTTTCAATCGATAAAAATTTTGCTAAATTTAAAGTAATTTCTAATTAATTTATTTCTCATAATTGCATACATTCTTTTATATCCAATTACTAATGTTAATTTATCAATGATCGTTCATTAATAAGCAGAACATTGTTTCAAATTGGTAATTCTCGTTAATCTCATTAATTAAATCACCATAATATCGCTGAAATAATGTTGCATGCTTCTATTCATGCAACTATTTTCAAATATGACCTAATGAAAATGAATTGTTCGATAACTCCAATAATTTTCTTCACTTCTCACCCCTATGATTCATCCCAAGTATTTAGCATTACAAAGAGTATGTATTTGTCGACAAATATGTTTGTAAAATTTTTTTCTAATTTCAAATTGTAACACAAAAGATATTAAATTTGAATTTTAATATTTCCATTATAATATAGTATGAAAGTTTTCAACTTTTTAATCTTCATTTTTAATGGATGAAATTTTAATCGAATAGTATTATATGTTAAATCATTTCCCATTTTTCCTTTTGTAGGAAACTTCGTTAAATATAAAATTTTCCATTTATTATTATAACTTATAGATTTGATAGCTTTTTAAAACAAAAGAAAAATCTATTCCATATTAGTTATATATTAATATTAATGAATTAATTATTTGTGAAAGGAAAAAATTAATTTTCTAAAAATTAAATAAAATTTTTAAATTAATTTTTATTTTTTGGTTCATGTAATTTGCTGATTATTCGCTGATTGAGGAAATAACAATAAATGCGTAGAGTAACGATAATACCTGATGATATTCAAACTGATAAGATATTTAAATCAAAACGTGGACCAACATTTCTTGCAACTTTTCTCTTGGTAAGTTTTAACTAAAATTTTATTATATTCTTTTTCTTTCTTCATATTTTCTCATTTGTTAAAAAGATAAGGAATTTTTATTGAAACAAAAATTTATGATAAATATTTATATGCAAATTATTCAAATTTACGCAAAAGATCAATGTCTATTTGATTGATTTATTTGATTTTAAATTTCAACTGGAAAAAATCAATTGATTCTATTTAACCTTATCAAACTATAAATTACATTATTATCATAAATCAAAGATTGGATGAGAAAATAGTTTAAAACAGACAATTAGAAATTTATCATACATTTTAATTTAAAATTTGTTAAGATTAAATGAATAAATTAATCTAAAAAAGGATAACATAGGCTACAATTTTGAATTTTTCTTTTACTATTGTTTTTCGAAATATTGTTATTATTAATTAATTTTAGTATAATTTAAAATTTCCTCAAATTTGAGATTAAGCATTAAAAAGATTCTATTAAAAAAACCATTCTAATGTTTTCAAATGTTTCACAGATTTTATAACAATTTAATATCAAAGATTGAAGTTTTTCTGAAAAGCGTTCTAACAGTGGCTAATGAAATTAAAGCTTTTTGTTTTTTTAATTTTACAATTTTTATAAATTACAATTTACTCATTCTGTTCACTTTAATTAATTGATTCATATGAATTGAATTTTTAAATTTGAATTAAATTTTTTTTTTTGAATAATTATAATTTTTAGGCTTTAGCATGGTTAATAAATGAATTAGCATTAGCATGGGTACATGATCGAATACCACGTGATGACGTACGTCCATTGCCGGATTTATGGTTTAGTTTGTTTCCAGAAGTAAGAAATTTGTTGAATTTTATTAGAATTAAAATGTAAATATAGCATTTTAGTTTTTATATTATTTAGCAATCTGTTTCTCATTAAACTTCTATTATTAAATGAAACTAAAATTTAATTATATCATTGTTGAAATATTATTTTTAACCTTTTACTATTTCAATTGTTATTTTCATTAAATTAATACACTAATATTTGTTGACTTTTATTTTTACAATAAAAAGCATTTTTTGTTGTTGTTGTTGCAGATAACAAATGCAATATTAGTAACAGAACTAATAATGATCACTCTATTGGTGATATTATTCATCGTAATGTTTTGTCACCAACATCGATGGATTGTAATTCGGAGGGTTTTCTTTTGCGCCGCTTTGTGCTATACCTTTCGCGCTTTTTGCATATTTATATTTCAGGTTAATTTTTCCATTTTTAAATTTCGATATTTATGAAATCATAAAGTTTTCGTGTTTTTTTACTGATTACTCTTTTTTTTCATTCCTAAATTTATGAAATTCTAATCTTTTGTAAGATTGTGAAATTTTAATCTTTTCTATCGATCATACTATTTTTTTGCAAATTTCAACAGTTATAAAATTGTATTATATTGATATTTTCTACTGATTACACTTTTTTCTTTCTTAAATTTCAGCACGTACAAAAATTAGTGAAATTTCAATCTCTTTTATTAATTGTATTCTTTAGTACAAGTTGATAATAACAATTCATTAAATTATTCTCTCCAAATGTTTATGATATTTCAAAGATACAAAAATAAAATTAGATCGAAAAATAGAAATGAATGATTTTTTCCGAGATAATCGTCAAAGCCTGATTAAAAGTATTTTGGAATGCGAGAAGAGAAGGCGAGAAATTTAACCGACACGAAAAATATAATAAGAAAAATTTGTTGACCAAAAATATATCGGATATTTAATTTCGGAGTTTTCACCGCTTAGTATTTTTTAATATATTAAAATCGTTGAAAAAAGTTTCTTCGTATCTTCTCTTTTATACAAATGCTATATTTATAATTGTTATTTGTAAAATTGAAACTGAAATTGAAACCATATCTATTTATAGGTACCGGTACCAAGTAAGAAAACATATTGCGCACCAAAAAGTAATGGTAGCTTAAATGTAATTATTAGTCGAGTGTTAAAAACATTTTGGTCTGCTGGAATTGAACAACTTCGTTCACGGTTAATTAATTATTCCTTTCCTTTTTTGTTCTTCTTTCATTCAAATTCCTTTTTTAATTTTATTTTGACAGTCTTTTAATGAAAGGATGTTTTATTTAAAAATTAATTTAACAAATTACTTTTATCGAATGGTCGAAATTTTTCAACAAGTATTTATTACCTAAAGTTTGCCAATTAAAAAGCAAAAATATTTTGAAAATGCATATTTAATTAGTATACGTCATTTTTCATTTTGTCTTTCTATTTCTTTCCAATCATTAAATATTTATTAAGCTAATATATTTTGTAAATTTTCCAATGAATTTCGGATAATTTACGTATTTATGATAATTTTTACAGTGAGCTTTGTGGTGATCTGATCGTATCAGGACATACCATATCATTATTTATGGCGGCATTAACCTTAAAACAATATTGCCCAGAAAAACTTTATTATTTGGCTCAATTATGTTATTGTGCCACATTTATAGCTGTCCCATGCATTTTATTAGCCAGAAAGCATTATACAATCGATGTCGTATTAGCTTATTGGCTTACAACACGCATCTTTTGGACATACCATTCATTATCAGTATTGTTTATTACTTTCTTTATAATAGCGCATTTATATATTTAGCAATTCTTATTTCATAAAAATATTTTCTTTATTTCAATTATTGATATATTCATTTTCTAATATTTTTTTTAAAATTTTAAATGGTATAATTGATTATTTAATTGCAGCATTCTTATCATTGTGGTGATTTCGATCAAATTCCTTTAAAGCAATCAATTTGGGCTTGTATGGTACCATATTTGGAAGCAGATGCGCCACCACCGCAATATTTTCAAAATCGACTGAAATCCAATTGTCCACAGTATCATCCAATTGTCCACAGTATTTTCGAAGAAAAATTGTTTTAAAAAATAAATTGATGTTATTATCAGATAGTTTATTGATTTCAAAAAATTTTTTTGATTTAATGATAAATGAATAATTTAATTATTATTGCCTTATTTCTAATACAATATTGCTAAATATTTAAATTAAACATTAATTTGTTTTCCGGAAATTTTGCGAAAAATTCAAACTAAATAATAAAGATATTATGTTACGCTGACTTCCTTTAAAACAGAAAACCGGATTTATATATTCGAAAAGTTCCTACAAATTTCATTTGTACTTTAAAAAAGAAAAATGAATAATTTATTCTTTTTATTCCTAAACAGAATAATTGTTTGTTAAATACAAAATAAATCTCTAAGAGAATGTTGTATTCATTATCAATAATATTAATTTGTTTAATTAATTTACCACCCTTTTTCTTCTTTTATATATTTCTATGTATACATTTGATTATTTTGAAAATGAGTTTGTAAAACGGAGTGCCGTAAACTGATTAAAAAGATGAATTCGATTTATTCTTATCGATAATATCATCCGTATTGTTTTGTTCGAAAGAAATTCACTATTGAATAGTAATTGATCATTTTTCATAGTTACAACAAACAGTAAGAAATTTAAATTCTAAATTACATTTTTATATTAATTATTTATTATGAAATTAGAATGGAAATATAATTAAAAACAAAATGTTAATTATAATTGATTTAATTTTAATGTGAAAATAATTTTGAGTTGAAAAAATTATTGTTTCATTTATTGTTATATTTTTGAAATAAATGATAAATGGATGGATGAATGTTTCATCAAATTTATTCTTATCATTCAAATTTTTTTTATTCTTTCATTTGTTATCATTTCATATTTTAATTTTAATTTTTAAGCTATTAAATTACCAATTCAAACTTTTTGAATAATCATTTAATAGTTGAATAATGCCAAAGTATCATGAAGAAGATATTATCGTAATTTTTCACCTAGTTATCCATAATCATTTTATCTTTCTTATCAATTATATGTTATAAAAACAAAAGTAGAAATTTAATTTTTGCATTAAGTTGAAAGTATACGAGTTTACAAAAAATAATTTAAATTTTTTCAGCACCAAATTTTTTCAACACTTCTTCCATTTGTTTATGATAATCGGACATTAACTGGTTGAAATGTTTTAAACAAATTGCATGATCGACTAGAACTATTGGAATTTTACGTAAATCAGCCTGAAAAAAAGGAGAAATTAAATTGAATTGACAAGAAGTTGAAATTTAATAATTTAATAAAGTATGTGTGATATTTTTGCAACATAATCAAACATAAACACAGTATGTTTAATGCTATTAATAAACATAATTTAAACATATTATTAAATAATAAACATAATAAACATTAAACATAATTTGTTAATTATATTATGTTATATTATAATTATAACTATAATTATTATAACTATAATTATAATTATAGTTATGTTAATAAATATAATGTGTTATATTAGCAAAATTTTTGTTGCTGATATACTCATGTAGAAGTTATGTACACGAATTGTTTCAATAAATTAAAATGAAAGAAGATTGGTTGAAATAAAATTTAGAAAAGAAAAACTTACCTTAACCAAAGCTAACTGCATTTCATAATCTTTACGTGATTGTTCCAATTTAAAACTTCTAGCTGTTTCAGTATTTTCATCCCTAAAATATATTTATGAAAAGTATTGTAAGAGATTAACATAACAATAAAATGATTCAAAATACTTGCATCTATTAATTATTAATCTAATTATTGAATTTATTTTGTCTAAGAATTATTTCCAATTAATAATTGAAATATTTCAATTTATTGAAATTCATGAAATTTCATTTGAAAGAAAATTTTTATTTTCATTTTTTTTCCAAAGTATATTTATTTATCGATTAGATATTTATTTATTCTTTGAAAATAAATGAATAAAAATTAGAATAAAATTTTCTTTTATTTATTTACTAAAAAATTTATTTATTTATTTACTTATAGTATGTTTACTTATTTATTTTAATAAATAAATATACTTTGGACCACTCTTTTCACCCTTTTCAACTTCTGTTACTGTCATATCCATTTGCCATTGCTTCTCTTTCAATAATGAAATTGAATTTATGATACGTTCATAATCAGATACAATCCAACTTTTTAGCCGATTTGTTACCTATCAAAAAGCTTCCATTTAATATTTATTATGATTAATTGTAAATGAAAATTGAATTTTGGAAGAAATTTACAAAAATTTCCCATTAAAGAATTAAATGAATAAAATATAATGTATATTGAAAAGTTTTTTTAATTAACACCTTTAATAGTTTTGCAAAATTAAGGCATTTAATTTATAATTAATTTTTTCCCCACAATGCTATAAGTATAAATGCTATAAGTATAATTTGAATGAGATAAATTCTTATTTGATATAAATAAATTCATACCTTATCCTGTATTTTGGTATACATTGTTCGTTGTATATTACCAATTATATTATACATTTCGCTTTGAGTTTTCAAAAAATTTGCATACTACAGAAATTAATTATCAATCAAATGATAAATGAATCAAGCTTGCAATTAGTTGAATAGCAAACAATGAATTAACTGATGATCGATTAATTTATATTCTGATTAATAATATAATGAAATGAATTAACTAATATATCAATTACTAAACATTAATTTTTGCTTACCCATCTGATGATGAGTAAACAAAAATTAATGTGATGATGAGTAAACAAAGATTACTGTTTAGTAATTGATATATCATGAATTTCTTCCGTGCGATCGATTCATTCTTCGATAAAATTATCACGAAAAATATTACATTCTGAATTTCAAATTTTCCAATATATTACTCATTGCATAATTTACTGCCATTTTTTTTTGAGTGTGAAAATTAAGTGAAATTTTGATCAAATAAAAATTAAATTATTACTTCCTCATGTTGAGCAATTTTTGGTGTTAGTATTTTGATCGATAATGCAAGCTTTTCACTTATTGTCGTTGTTTCATCTTTAAGTTGAAATCGTCGAGATATTGCATCTGAGCAACTCATCAACTCACATGTCGCATCATGTATCGCTGGTAATAATTCCATCTAAATAAATATGTTTACAAGTAGTGGTATATCATCAAATTTCTTCACTGTTGTTAAAATATATCGAAAAGAAAAAGCCAAAATATGTTTGTAATGTTAAAAGATGTCTGTATTGATTGAATCGGGAAAAAAAATCAATCGATTTTTCATAATATTATCATTGAAAATCATATTTCTGAAATGTAATGTAAGGATATGAAAAAAAGAAGAATTCGTGATATTATCACGAATTCTTCTTTTTTGTGTAGAATGAAAAACAAACGGACAAAATCGATAACTTTTCTCGTCTTTTCTTTTTTTTCAAATTTCAATTTAAGATAAATAGTTGTGAGAAAATGATAACAATTTGATAACAGCAAGAAAATACCATTGAGACGAGTTCAGGCGGATATTTTGTATCACGGGAACGTTGAATTTTAAGTTTTTGCAACATACGATCAAAGATATTACTGTATGAAATATTGTAATCATTATCAAATTTCTTATCACAAAAAGATTAGGAGAAGCTCAATTTATCATTTAATTTTCATATTTTTGTAGTTATGATAAATTTAAACTATTTTTTTCATTTAATTTCTTACAAAGCAAAGGAAAGAAATATATGCCAAATTATTTACACGTACCATTTTTCACGTAACACTTAATTTTAATTAAGTATTACGTGAAAAATAACACTTAATACTTAATTAATTTAGCACTTAATTACGTTTTGAATTTTTATCATCTTTCTTTTTTCACTATCACATAATTGAAATTCATTGTTCTATACTTTTAACTATTATATTAAATAATCTGTTGAAGAAATTCCCGTTAATCTTTTATCTCATTAGTTTTTTTGTGGGTATAATGATAACGAGAAATAGCCAGCCTTACGGCATATCACATCAATTGAATTCAACCGCTCTTTACGCCAAAAAACACTTAACAATGAATTCCTTAGAATAGTAAATTTAATATTTGATACTGATTTTCAAATGATCACATTAATTTCTATGCAAATTTTTGCAATTATATATTAATGATAAAAGTGTCAAATTTTTATAAAATAATCTAAAATAATTGAAAACATTATCAGTGATATGATAGTGATAGCATGCAACATACGATCAAAGATAATGCTGGATGAAATATTGCAATATCGATTTATGATAAGGATTCTAGCACATAAGTCTGAATCACTTTTCGATTTATGAAGTTTATCAGGCAAATTTATCAAATGGAGCAAAATAGTGATAATTTAGCTATAAAATAAGTTATTGAAGATAAGGAATTAAATGAATGATTAAAATTAACTAAATTTCAAATCAAGAAAAATGTCAAATTACACTGAATTCGTGATATTCGTCAGTTTACATATAGTTTAATGATTTTTCAAATTTAATTTTTAGGATTAATTGTTAATTAAAAGAATGTCGAATTATGATTCATAGTGATAAATGATTTAATAATGAATTGTAGAAAGTTTTCTTTACACAAAAATTGTTCAAATTAAATGGATACAGGTAATAATTGCAAATAATACGAATAGGAGCCACTGTGGTGATAATATTCATTTCGTAAATTGACCGTTTTTATTTGTACAACAAATGATTCAATAATGATTGCAACTTTTTATCCAATTTTAAAAATGTTTCAAATTGAAGAATTTTAATGACAATTATATAAAATCATTGAATTACATTAAAAATTATCAAATTATATTTCCATTTTAAATCGAATTGAAAATTATGAAATTATATTTTCATTTTAAAAATCTTTTACTATTTCAATTTCTCTGAACGATTTGATCGAACACTTTTTAATTCATCAATTTTTGATTAATAATTATAATCTAATCAATTTTAATTGTTAATTTTTTCCCGATCAAAAAGTTAAACCTTTAATGGAAGAATTTATTACAAGAATTAAATTTATGTATATTTTACTGATATGATATAATCGTTTTCTTTGTCTAATATTTCCGATCGTTTTTTTCTTTGCAGATACAGACGCACTATTTTCTGCTTTTATCATTTGCTGTCCAATGATCATTAAAGTGGATATCATCATTTTTTGCTTTTATCACTTGCTGTCCAATGATCATTAAAGTGGATATCATCATTTTTTGCTTTTATTATTTACTGTCCAATGGTCATTAAAGTGGATATCATCATTTTTTGCTTTTATCATTTACTGTCCAATGATCATTAAAAGATGGGATTACAATATTTAACAATTAGAGAAATTTTTTTCATTTATTACTTAGCAATTTTTATGCTTAACTATCATTTCAAATATGATTTTAAGTCGGAAAATTTAATGATAAAACTAAATTTCTCAATAATTCAGTAAAACATTGTAGTGAATAATGAATGACTCATATAATTTATTCAGAACTTTCGATATTATCATTTTCTCAGAAGATTTAATTTACAGTCATCTATTTTCTCTAATTTTGAAATCAATAATCGATTAATATTTTTCAATGTTTGAATCAATAATCGATTAATATTTTTCAATTTTTGAATCAATAATCGATTAATATTTTTCAATGTTTGAATCAATAATCGATTAATATTTTTCAATGTTTGAATCAATAATCGATCGCTCATCCAATTTTAAATCAATAATCGATCAATAATTTCCAAATATTAGAAAATTTTAAATAAAAATGAATTGAAAAATACGAGAAAAAAATGATCTGAGCATATTTGTTAATCATTTCCATTGGAAGATTTTCGACAAATTGATAAGATATCGTTTAATTTGTTCAATCATTTTCATTTCTCAAATATTTTTATTTTTAGATTTGATAAGAATTTCAACTTCTATCATTCCATTGTGTTGCAAAGATAAGTTTGAATGGATACGATTGTTATTATCGATTCTCTTTCTCTCTTTTCAGTTGTACTTCACCAATGCAACATTTCAACAACATTAAATGCTCTTTGTTTATTCTTATTGTAATATCATCATTAGATGCACATTAATTGCTTGATGTAAATTTGAACTGTTAGTTAATTTCAAATATAATTTATTAATTTAATTAATTTATACGTAGTATTCAAATTTTCAACAATATACATAACTGAATAATTTACCTATTAACTCCTTATTTTCAATGTTTAGTTTATCAGTGATCAATGATAATAGGTAAAGTTAAAGAGGGATGAAATGTTCGGAATTATTTCACAGTGGTAAAATTGATAAAGAGGTAAAAATTCACAATCCTAAAATTTTTCTGTTATTTATGCAAAAATATTAATTTTGATAATTATTATCAGAATACTCTTTTTTTTTGCTATCAATATTTTTTATCACTTTTTAGGCTAGAACAACAAAAAAGTAAGCGTTGCTTGCCTATCGCAGTTTTAAAAAAATGCAAATTTGTAGTGTGAAAGATGACGACGTATTAAATTCTAATTCTGATAAGCTGTCAAAAAGTTCAATATTGTCATTTAAATTTGTATAAATTGTCAGGCATAAATTGACTGGTCACTTTTTCCTATAAATTGACTGGTCACTTTTTTCTTATAAATTGACTGGTCACTTTTTTCCTATAAATAGACTGGTCACTTTTTCCTATAAATTGACTGGTCACTTTTTTCCTATAAATTGACTGGTCACTTTTTTCCTATAAATAGACTGGTCACTTTTTCCTATAAATTGACTGGTCACTTTTCTCCTATAAATTGACTGGTCACTTTTTTTCTATAAATAGACTGGTCACTTTTTTTTTCCAATTATTTTTTTAAATAATTAAATCGTTTCTTCGATTCTTTCACAATAATTTTAATAATAATTTATTATTCTAAAGATTGAAAAAGAAAAAAATGAAAGTAAATTATGCGATCAACGTAACATATAATATTGATCAATTTTCATATCTATGCGAAAATTGGCAAC